AACGCAATGTAGAGCTTTAGAGGTGTGACGTTAGCTGAGCTGAATCGGCAGTTAACTTCTGGAAATCTCGACGCGAAGGAATTAGCCATTGCACAAGCCGGTCAAGCCAGAGACTATCCCAAGGCTAGCTACTACGCTTAGTAATATGTCATTATCTTCAAAAATTATTTCTAAAGGGTATCCCAGAATGTGGTACTGACGCTTTACGTTTTGCGCTCCTGGCCTACACAAGTCAAGGTAGAGACATCAATCTCGACGTTCTTCGTGTTCAAGGCTATCGTTTCTTCTGTAATAAAGTATATTCTTGCTCGTATTTCCAGCGCGGTTTTCTTCGCTCTACGCCTTACTTTTAGATTTGGCAAGCGGTGCGTTTTACCCTGATGCAGCTCGGTAGTGATTACAAAGCAGAACCTTTCAAGGTAGCGAAAGAATATCAGTTCTATTGCATTATCGAAAATTTTGAATAATTCTTAGATTTCTGGTGAAGAATCGATTATGGATAAGTGGATTCTATCGCGTGTTGCGTATGCAGTCGACCGTTGCAATAGCGATATGGAAACATACAACTTCACTCAGGTAAATTTATTGTGTCAATTACATAAGCAGATTCATCCTTTATGTTTGCTTTTCCTCTTGTTCTCGTTATCTACCCGTTTGAGACGGTGCATTCGCATTTTAGTTTACTACAACAGTCTATGATTTCTGGCTCTATGACTTGTGCGACATCTACCTTGAGTCGGTCAAACCAGTGATTGCGTCAGGTGCTTATCAAATAACGTTACCCATAAGTTGAACTATATAAAAACCTTTTAGGAAGTGATGAAGCTCGTAAGGTTGCGAAGGCTACACTTTATCATTGTGTTGAAACTGGGCTGAGACTAATCAGTCCTGCCATGCCATTTTTGTCTGAGGAACTCTGGCAACATCTCCCTCATCTGAAAACGCATCCTCCATCCATAATTGTGCATGATTACCCGGAATCCTCTCAGGTTATTAGGTCTTGCATCTCTTCTTTCTATATGTAATTAGGTTTTTTAGTACTGTTTCATCAATGAGAGGATTGAAGCTGATGTTGCGTTCGCAATGAGCGTGATACGAACAGTTCGATCGCTGCGTTCGGACTATGAGTTGACAAATAAAACTAAGACTGACTGTAGGTCTTCTCTTGTTATCATAAATATAAATTTATTGATTTGTGCTTAACTTACGTTCTTGATCAATTCAGTGTATGTGTCTGTTAGCGATGAGAAGGACTATCGATGTCTTACTTCTCTTATCTCTCTCATTGAGACACTCGCTTCAAGCAACAAGGTGAGATTATTAATCGGTTTAGGAGGGTATGCTCAGGTAAAATCTTGAGTAACTTGAAGAAGCTCTAGTCAGGCTTATCATTTCTAGTTTTCGTGCGCTGCAATTCCTTCAGCAATTGCTCAAACTCTCTTCATGTAATTGTTGATGAATAGCGTACATGTTTGCTTGAACAATGGAGCAAATCCATATGATTGAAAAGGAAATTGCGAAAGGTTATATTCTACGAAGAAAAGTTTGATGATCGCAGGTGGAGGTTCTGCTACAGTCTAACATCACTGCGGAAAGCATTCCCAGTGGCTGTGCTCACGTTACGATTTCATCCAGATGTAGTGTCGATATTGGACTTCAGGTGAATTTTAGAGGTCGGCTCTTGCTTTCATGTCTATTATGTTTGTTTTTCAAGGGTATAATCAACGTTGAACGAGAACTCGCTAAACTATCTGGTAAGAAGGAGAAGAATGAAGCTTTTGTGGCAAAATTGCTTGAACAGGAAAGTCGTCCTGACTACGAAGAAAAAGTCCCACTTCCTGTTCGCATCGCTAACACAGAGAAGGTGAGCTCATTATCTGTTGCATTTATGTAGCTCACGTAACATGAAGTAATTAAGAATATTTCAGAAAGAAGCATTGCTAGCCGAAATGAAAAGCATCGAAGCTGCTATGACCGCTTTGAGCGGCTAATTATTATCTGTTGTCTCGTCATTGTTCTTTTTTTTCTTCATGTTTCTTTACTAGTTTCTTTTTTGGGTAATACTTGTTGATGCTAAGTTGTTACTGTTTTCTGTTGTTTAGAACTAACTTGGCCTTAATAATTATAAAAGTATTGTTGTATGGTTTCAACGTCATTATCATACTACAATGTTGGTGTAAGTACTCACAACT